TAATATCCAAACGCTAACATTTTATTATTTACTAGAGGCCTGGTGCACAAAATTCGTGCATGGGTAGGGTCCCTAGGCCTGGCTGGAAATCAGGGCCAATCAGGGCCTTCCTTCCCCGGGCTGCTGGCTGCCGGCTGGGGCCTGCCTTCTCCTTCCCCGGGTGCCGGATTCTGGCTGGGCCTTCCTTTGTTCCGTGCTACCCCCTGGTGGTCAGTGCACATCATAGCGAGTGGTCGAACTCGCGGTTGATTGAATTCCTGAGGGGATAATTTGCATATTAGCCTTTTATTATATAGGATAATAATATCTAGACCAGTGGTTCTCAACCTTCCTAATGCTGTGACCCTTTAATACAGTTCCTCATGTTGTGGTGACCCCCAACCATAAAATTATTTTCGTTGCTACTTCATAACTATAATTTTTCTACTGTTATGAATCGTAATGTAAATATCTGATATGCAGGATGTATTTTCATTGTTACAAATTGAACATAATTAAAGCATAGTGATTAATCACAAAAACAATATGTAATTATATATGTGTTTTCCGATGGTCTTAGGCGACCCTTGTGAAAGGGTCGTTCGACCCCCAAAGGGGTGGTGACCCACAGGTTGAGAACCGCTGATCTACACACTAACATCACCTATTCTATTTTCCTGTTTTGTGGGTTACCAGCAGTGTCCCACCTATTATAAATCTAGACTTGTAAAAACAGAATGTTCTTTTAGCTCATTTTCCCATATGTGTTGACCCCTTTCAGTCTCTTATTCTTTCCAATTGCTTGTTAATCACAGTCTTATGAAGGAAATCAATTTTTTTGAGTCCTTTTCCTCTTCCGCTGAGTGAGCAATATTCTTGGAAGTGGGAGCAGCCTTGTAAACACCTACCCTTTGTTCAGAGCAGTTTTGGGAGAAGTGGAATAAAAACGGCTGCTTATCAAATGCAACTTTAAGGTTGCCAGTCCCTGTTTACTCTCCCTGCCTACCATCCCATAGCCCAGTACACGGTTAACAAATGAAAATCCCCAAATTAGAGATGCATTCTTTTGGTTCAAGACTTCTATCCTTTGTTAAAATTAGAACACCATGGCCCTAGCTGGTAGGGCTCAGTGAATAGTGCATCCACCTGCATACTGTAGGGTCCTGGGTTCAATTCCAATCAAGGGCACATGCCCGGGTTGCAGGCTAGATCCCAGTAGGGGGCATGTAAGAGGCATGCAATCAGGGATTCTCTCCCATCATTGATGTTTCTCTCTCTCCCTCTCCCTTCTTCTCTAAAATCAATCCTATATAATAAAAGCATAATTTCCTAAATGTCGACTTACCCCCTCGCCCAGTTGCTTTGACATGCCCTGACCCCCAGGGGCAGATGCCCCACCCGGTAGGTTACCTTGCTCCTGGGGCCCACCCAATTGGGCCTGGGCGAGAGGCCCGGATCCCCCCTGGGGGCCCCCCCCCCCCCCG